TATATATATATATATATATATACACACACACACACACACGCACTGATGCTAATAAACATTTTAAAACGTTGTTAAAAGACTGATAAATAATTGGTGCGCAATTTAATTACTTGAACTAGAAATATAATTATAAGATTCACGCAAAAGTATCATTAGGCACCAACATTCGTTTTGATTGAATATGACCTTCACTTATTTATGTTGAACATTTTTCGCTTTTCATTTATTATTGCTTATTTACATCGCTCGAAAATAATCTTTGTTTTTAAAAGTAAGTTTTTAATTGTATATACTCAATTGATGATAAGTTTGAAAAGAGAAAAATTATTAAGAAATAATGTCTATACCGATCGAAACTGGATTATGAGTGCTTTAAATAATTTCATGTGAATTTATATCACGTTTGTAGTTTCTCGAATTGCGCGTTGAATCAGTTTTTCGGACTTACAATTAGAAGCGCCACTGTATGAATTACTAGTAATATCACAAATTAATTGATGCTCAATTGACATCACCTTAAGAAGATCTTAAATTGAAAATCTGTGTATAAATATAAATTTAGAAAAAATTATAATAATATCCTACCCCGTGCAGAAATGACTATTAGGACTATTATGAGCATTTCGACCGTTAATTCGACCGTTTTGTATCGATCGTTACCGCTTTGTATGGATCACCACAACGTAAATTACAGCCTCCCCTAAAGAGCCGGCGTTTCTCCACGTCTCTTCATTGGAGTGACCAACGCCGGCCGCGGTGGTCCCGGCGGGCAGCATTAATCACCGTCTGCGATTAACGCACATTTCCCTCGGTTCCCAGCGTATGACCCTGCACTTCGTACACTGTCGGCAATTAAACTTGATCGTAAAAAATGCCTTGGCGATTTTACAGCAACATACCGATTTCCTCCGCGCCATCAATCCTACATCCGTTTAATGTTCAACCCTTTTAATTTCCGGTGAGCGCGACGAACTATCTTGATGCTAATTCTTTTATTCACTATTATTATTCACTATTATTATTCCTGATTTGATATAATAGTTTATATTTATTATAATATTGTTTCGAAATATGGATTAACCTGGGAAGTTCAACTTATGTTTTTTACGTAAACGATTAATGAGATTTTTACATTATATAAAATCAAAATAAAAAAATCATTATTACTAATAACATATTGTATATATTAAATGTTGATTGTTTTTTAATTTATTAATATTTGATAACATTGGATATAAATGTAGGATTACAATCTTTTGAAAAAATAAGAAGAAACCAAATAAATATTACAACGGAATAAGTGCGTTAAACTTATTATGATTATTATTTCTAAAAAATAAAAATGTAAATTAATAAAACGCGTTTTTATTGCGGATTTTCGATAAAATTACATTTAAAGGTTTGTAAAGAATAGTCATTAAAAAAGAAAGAAAATGTATTCAAAAGTATAATAAGAAAACAATATCCATTTTATAACATTTTTCATTAACATTATTTTCTCGCCGCTGGAGTATAAAAATACCCCAGATGAATTTATTACTTAGATTAATTCAATATTACTATAGTCTTAGCCATAAATATAAAGCATTTTTAATTTATTGCGTTTTTTCGAAAAGAGCGATAACAGAAGCCAAAAGAAAAACGATAATAAAAGATAAAGGAGGACTAACAAGATATTAAAATTGTTAGATATATTTAAACAAAAATATTATTTTTTAAAATAAAACTTTTTTATTTATTATTGTTAGATATATAATGTAACATCAATTTGAAGATACTTTGTTCTTATGCCAAAACTATACACTGCTATATATTGTGATATAAATGTAATATTATTTGTTTTCGCGCGCAATCTATTAATAAAACTATTATTTATATACATAATTTCGAATAAATTCACATCTTGTCTGCTATTATATATACACATTTGATCACTATTATAATTGAAAAGAAATATATGGGGCTTTTTACGCGATATCTAGTAGGACGTATAGTAATGTGACAGCCTTTGTATACATTAGCTTTTACGCATTATTCGTTGCGGTGTCTCCAATGGAATCGATTTATCGAATCGAATGCCAAGTCCCTCTCAAATTCCGGCATGCAAGAGCGTCTGGTTTGCGCGCGTATTCGGTCCATTCGCGGAACTCGATTACTTCCGCCGGATATCGAACGTGAATTCGTGTGTACCGGACGACCATCGGTGTCAGAGTTAATATTGACCTGTCACTCGGTTATGGCTTATGCTCTTGATCTGATCTTCTCTCTTGCTTCCGGTTTGATCTTTCCTCCTAGGTCTCCTAACCAGCCTCCCTCTCTCCAAGTTTTCATCATGTTGGGATTCTCCGAATCCTCTTCTCCAATCTATCAGAAAAGCAGCTTATTCCGTCGATTACATGCAGATTCAATCAACGTAGACACGTACTCAAGATGACATCTCATATTTCGACAGCAGAAGAAATTTATATTGCGATATATTTGACGAAAACGAATTTTTAAGATTATTATAATACAGTCTTAGTCAAAAGTATTAGGCACTGTATTATTTAATCATTATTTAATATTTCAGTTTTAAAAAATCTGACATGATTTATGACATTTATTGTGAATTTTTATCCTTCGTTTCTAAAACTCTTTAAAGTTATATACATATAATGCCGATAATCAATAGAAAAAAATATATATAAAAATTAAAAAATTCCTGAAAAAACATAAGTTTCTAATACTTTTTTGGTCAAGGCTGTATGCATATATATGTATCGACCAAAATAAGATAAGATTAATTAAAAATCGGAAGAGTTAAATAAGAAATAGAGTTATTGTTAGGATTGATAAACGTTCTGTTAAATTTAGCATAATATTGTAAAAAAATGTAATTATGCACGCTTCATTTCGTTGGATGGAGGAGAAAGATGAAAAAAAATTTCCAGTCATACCATAAGTGTCGCGCAACGGAAAATTTATATCCATTTCTCCGATGAAGGAGTCTCTCTCTCTCTCTCTCTCTCTCTCTCTTTCGTCGAATTTGTCGTCTTGATAGGAAAATGGTAAACGCAATGGGGCAGGGAAGTGCTGTCAGATATTTTCCAGTAAATGTACGAAGGCCGATCTCAGGAGGCAGACGGCGGAATAAAAGTCGAAGCATGTGAATATTAGAGTACTTTCGTATATCTTAGATGCGACAATTTATTGTGCACTTTGCTAGAAAATCTCTTAAAGTAGAGGAATTGATTAAGAAATTTACGATATTATTATAATTACCCTATTATTTAACTTAATTTTCTTAACAAAGTTTTACATACAAAAATATTTTTTTAATTTATTATTTCACTTACAATTTTAGACTCTTTTTTTATTGTACTATTAATTGCTATTAGCCGTTCTAAAATAACTCCTGCTGTGTATCTAATACACATTGCCAATTATTTTCCTTTTTTTTTCCTGAATTCTTCTGTTATCCTCTGTTTTCCCCTTTCCATCACAACCCCTTTTTCTCTCGAATTCCCGGCACGTAACCGAAACAAGCCGATCAGCTGGCGCGCTGGCGATGTAACGGAGTGTTACGCCGCTGCAAATTTGATACACCGCTAACGAGCTCGCTATCAAACGGTCGCATATCCAGGCAGGGACAGAGAGAAATAATATACGTAGAGAGAAGGATCGATAGATACAATGGTCAGGGAGCCAGTCTGTCCCGATTAGGGCCTCAGTTTGCGATGCGGGGTCCGTGAGTACTGTGTCATGAGCCGGAGGGCCGTGATAGTGTCATCCGTTGGTGAGGGCCGTTCATGAGGGCCAACGTACTACCGAGACGATCGAGAAAAGCACGAGTCAAGGTCACGGGTATGCTCATCAAGGAGACGTCACTCAGGTATCGATTTCGCTGTGCTGCACTCGATATCTTTTGCAGTTAAGGGTATACAAGTGTTTCTTCGAAATTTTATCTATATACCCATCAATGTATGTAATTTAATCGATGTGAGTATTTATAATTAAATATTGATATCGTTTTGAAGTTGAAATGAAAGTTATATTGTGCGGATAAGTCGACAGTTCATTATATTTTTATTAAAAAATAATAAAAAAGATGAACAGTTTTTGTGTTAAAAATTTAACACTCAGAGAGTGTTCGCACTCAGAGAAAAACGTAGTAATAGCAACTATGAAGGTAACAAACTGTATAATATATGTTTTATTTACGGAATTAATTTATATAAATCAATATAAAGTATTTTACAGTTGCAACAACTATAAAATAGTTTATTCAATTATATATATATATATATATATATATATATATATACACATACATACACAATACTTTTACACATATAACTTATGGTTGTCACCTTTATAGTTGTTATTATATATCTTTTTTTCTAAGCGCACAGTGAGAAAAATGGAAAGAAAGTTAAATAATACATGAAAGATGTCGGAATGAGAATGAAATGATAAGCGATAGAATCGATGTTTTCCACTGACAGAAATCTCAGAAGTGTAATTCCCATTATAATATGCGGAAAGTGATGAAAAAGAGAGAGGCCGAGTTGGAATTTTCCAAGCACAAACTTCAAAGGGACGCGAAGAGTCCCTGAGTTCTGAATAAGAGATGTACTTTGACAATGGCTGCGTGGCAAACGAATTGAAATGAAATGCCAGCGACGATTTCACAGAATGTGAAGAATTTCTTGGAAAATCATGCCGAGAGACGATAGATCATGCATGCGACAACGTGTGAAAAATTGCAATTTGCCTTCATGAATATTCGAAAGATATTTAGATTCAAAAATGTGGAAATACGAATCTTTAATAATAAAGATTTTAAAGAATTTTTATATATAAAGAAATGTAATGGGATTAGCAATTTGCTATTACAATTGTTTTTTTACTCTTCTTCATTTTTAACTTTAGACTAGAAACAAAAACAATTAGTTGAATTAAACGTAAATTTAATAAAAGTAAATGACATTTTGCCGCATAGAACATTGATCAATTTACGTGGACCAAACTTTACTGTCTTCTCTAAATAAATTAAAATTGTAAAGGAACCAGGTCAACGTCGTGTCAAAGTCCGCTGAAAAGAATTTTAATGATGTAATAAATCCGGGAAAAGTTACGAAAAAAAAAGGGGAGAAGATGCTGAGGGACGTCGATAGATAGAAGGTAGCATAAGGGCAAGAGAGATCTCCACCAAAGGATGGGCGATGCGCCGGCTTCTCAAGCCCTTCGCAACGAGGGATGGCACTCGACCACTGAATCAACCCTCTCAGTTCCCTCTCGTCCTATCCGTTTTTTCCCTCGGCCAACGACACCCTCTCTCGCTCCAACGCTTCACAAACGCTACGTGATTATTTCAAAAAGCTCGGAGGTACGAGACGAGCTTCTGTCCTCCTATCGCTGTTGTTGTATCATGCTAAAGCCACATTGCTGCGAAATATTTTTACGCTGTTCTGCGTATACCTCGTAAAAGGACCGGGGTTCTTTCTTTATTCTTTCCAACATCGGGGTCAACGATACACTGAATCGTTTATTTTCTAAAATATGCGGAACAACGCTGAATCCTGTAAAATATCGGAAAAATTAAAGCGCGTAATTTCTGTAATCTTGATCTACACAGACCTTTTTTAAAGTTTGATTAAAATGTGATGAAATTTATAACTGAATCAGAATAGCACAGAATGTAAAAAAATGAAACAAAAATAATATTTTTGCACTGATAATATCAACAATTGGCTAAAATATTTGTGGTATAATTTCTTTATTATTAAATTTTCTTAATATTATTATCATTAAATTTTATTAATACGGATCTTCGTAAAATAAAATTTTTTGCTAAATATTCCTTTTACGATAACTCGATGAATATACTGAACGTTACTTCGAACGAATTCTTAATCATTTACACAAATTTTTACATATTCGTGAACTAGAAAATGCACGCGCGTGTAAAAAACTCGTTTTATCATATATTAGATTAAATAGATCGGCTACTATTATTAGATAAATGACTCGTGTTAGAAAGTCAACGCTATGTCATCTAATGATACTCACAAAGCCATCAGCACTAGTCGGTCTCTTCCTGCAGCCAGTGTCAATGTAATGTGTCAAACATTATGGCACCGCGTTGACCTTAAATCAGGCGGGCGCGCGTGGGTTTATATAAAAATCACGAAGTGCATATGCACTTGTATATCTCTATCTTTTGTACTCTATATATGTATAGATATATTTCTTTTTTATATTAATGCCTTTGTTAAAATTGTAATACACTTGGCAATAGCGAATATGAGTTAATTAACCGATGCGACTAATTAAAAAAATATGATTATGAGATACGTGAATTATTATGTAATTGAAGTTAAAATAAATGCATTCGATGTTGTAGCTGTCGCAAGAATAAAGCCTCTATTATTAAAAAAATAATTGAGATGTACTTATATGGACCCTATCGAACGTACAATTAATTAATTAAAATCGCTAATGGAAGTCGGTAAAACGTGATCGAGACGTTTTTTCCATTATGCTCGCATTTTTTCCATTATGCAAAATGTATAAAAAAGGTAGAGACGTTTCGCACATGCATGTAAATGTCACACTTGAAAGTGAATTTTATCTAAGCACTTTATTTTATTTATTAAAATATACTTGTTACATTATTACCCTTAATTTATCTATGTAAAACATATATTTGTATTCTGTAATTATATAATTAAATATAATTATTAATCTTTCTAAACTCAGTTTAATAGTTACTGCTTTTGTTTACATGTTCTTTTTTTTTTTTAAGTGACTATGCAAAGATTAGACAGATAAGATAATTCACAAAATGAATTAAAAATCTAAAGGAATCTCATGATAGAAAAATGTTTATTCTATCCTCGCTTTGTAGACGTCAAAATCATTTAGCATAAAATATATTCTTTTCAATGAAGGAATACGTGATGCGAATCTTAAGGGACATCATAATTTCATATAATTAAAGCTGAACAGAGAAAATAATAACGGGATACTAATAGATATGAGATGTTAACAGACACGTTCTATACAGTTGGCCAGGACTGCCGGTCGCGCTACCGTCACCAGCCTCACCATCCGCGGTAATCGTCTCGCCGGAAACGCTGTCTAGACACAGCAGCAGCTCACCTTCTCGCGTTCACCGGCCACCCCAGTTTGCGTTGGCCCTACCATGCTCCTCGCAACCGATTCCGGCGGTCTGCTATCCGGCGTCGACCTTCCTCGAGGTCACCGACGAGCGGAAGTGGAAGAACCTTGGCTGGTGAGTAGCAGATCAAACCTTTCTCCCGATCAATCCGAGCCTTTTCCCAACGTTGTGTGTCTAATGAAAGTTAATTTCCAGCATTATACGCGCATTATTAATGTTTCTTTAACCATTTTCATATCGCTAAAATATAAATATTTATACAACGATGCATATAATAATCTCATATGTATAATAATAAGCAGCATGCGCGTGCAATAATTTCGTATGTAGCAACGACGCTTAGGTAATATCATTAATATTAATTGGATCATTAAAACCAGAAATTTACAGTTTATTAATTATGTGTGCGGATTATAGTATTATTTACTAACATATTCGATTCTACAAAATGACAGAACAATTTTAAGCTGCACTTGCACCGTTACTTATTTACAGAATTATTGATTCGGTGAAATGACTACTATTGATACGTTCCGCATAATAAAACCCCGCGATAGGATTCGTAAAGTTAAAATGAATCTTTCAACTTTTCTCATAATCTGATTTAGTCCTTCAACCGTGCATTTCGCCAGGATTCGCAAATTTAATTTGTTCTTCGATGTACGCGAAGGGGAAATACCGGTCGCCACGGAAATTTCACGTGATCCTCCAGGTTATCCTGACCGACGTCTGCACCGCAATTACCGGCACTTTATGAATCAAACACACGCGTACAGGCGACCACGCGATTACTCGTAATTGAGCCAATTCTTACGGGGGTGGATGTATTTGCGGCCAATGGTACCTCCGCTGTAACGTTACACGATGATAGACATCGAGCTAACGATCCATCATTCACGCGACTGTCCTCAATCTCCCGTTTTCAATGATTCCTTCGAGAAAAGATGTTTTTATCTGGGTCAGGGCCGAGAAAAAGAATCTTAAACACGGGCAGATTTCATGCCGTGAAAAAAAATCATAATAGTGATTATTTTAAATCTCGATCGAAAGTAATAAAACTAAATTGTAGCGACAATAAATGAGATATATCTGGATTCACTATATACATATGTAAATAACATTATTAAATCTACTCGACGCGGTTCGTTGATTTTAATTTCTTTTCGCCGATAAAGGTCGTGTACATGGATTTATAAACTAGCAGATTTATAAAACACCTTGTCAGTACATTTTGAATAGAGATCCGTTTGATAGATGGCAAGTAAAGCTGGCAACTGAAGAGGAATAGTATGTTTTCTCAAAGTATAGCCGGAGATGGATCTATTTCCTCGAGCGAGGATTTAATCCTCCGCGCGACGTGATTCCGCGTTTCGTTCAGCTTCAATTTCCGTTTCTGATGCAGCGACGCCCTGGCGACCACTTTGAGCGCGCTGTACGGGAAACTTCTGGTTGTGATGGGGATCGCCTTTCCCATGGCGGAAGTAATATCCACATACATACCGCCGTCTTTCTACGAGGCTTTCTACCTCTACCTCTACTTCGGCAGCATGATCTTCCTCGTATACATGTACGCCATGTTGTTCGGGGACAGCAAGACGAAATCAAGTGAGTCCAAAAACACGTAAAAAATTTAGCATCCGGTCGATCCTCGTATCTTATCTATCGTAATAAATATTTCCGACTCATAGAAAATATCGATTCGACTGTTACGAGCAAGTATTCTTTGAATTCACGCGTATACAAAAAGAACGATTTTGCTGAAGTATCTAAAAGTTTAGCTAAATACAGATCTAAAAATAATTTCGTAATTAGCTCATTAATACTCGTTTCCACCAATGATTAGTAGACTTTAATGATTAGTAGTAACTTTAATCTTTTACTTTTCATTTATCTATTAAGTGTCCTATATATAATTATTTTTATGGTTCAACAAAATTATTTTCAAGTTTGTATCAAGCTAAAGCTTTTTAAGTACTTTAACAAAACTGGCCTTTTCCATGCAGAAGTAGGTAAAGCTTGCAACAATCAGAACATTGCTTTGACAATCGCAGCCTTACAAACCGATCAATCCACATTCACGCGCACAGTTACGCAACATTATGTATATCATCATGATGACCTCGCTTCATTTGATTCTCGTCAAAATTCCTCTCTCGGTCAGTAGCGATCGTCAAAATGAGAGCGATCATCGAAGGCGATGCCGATCTCAAATGAAATGACGACGATTGTTGCTGCGTAACAACCGATTGCAATTAACCGGTTCTCCATAAATCGTAAATTCGCGGAATAGAGAAGCAGAAAGACGTGTGTGATCTGGACTCATCGAGATCGTCGAGCGGCGCCGGCGGCGACAGTGACGCGCCTGAGAGCGGATGCCCGCACGTGAATCCGGTACGTCCGGTCCAGCACTATGGTAGCTTCTATCTACGAATGGGTGCCGTGGCGTTCGGCATCGGCTCAATGATCTACTCCGGGTTGGAATTCGGTCAGTACTTTGAGTTGGAACAAAACACCAAATGTCACAACATCATGCTGGCCCTCACACCTGCCACGAGAATGGCCTTCATCTTCATCCAAATGTACTTCATATTCCTAAACAATGAGGTGAGTAGGCACTGATATCTATGTAAACCATTCTCATGACTTGCGACCTTTCTTTTAATGACAAACTCTTGATCGATTTCTAGTTTAATTTTTCTGGGCGAGAATATCGAGGGTCACTTTATATTGCAACTTATCAATTTTCAATATTACGTATTTTTACAATTAAATTTTGAATTAAAACCGTATTGAAGCAAAATCCATTTGAAAATAATTTAAAAAGTATAATAGTAAATATTAATAACAATAAAGTTTATAAGAAAATTATTATATATGTATATATCCAGCAAACAAGTTGACGTCAAAATGCGACAATAACTTTAGCTTGTTTATTATTGGATAGTATATAGAAAATTACTGCATTTCTTGAGAATCGCTGCACATGTTATATTGGAAAACTCGATGGGAAATCCACTGACGGAAGTACCGAGCTAACACAAGCTCGTCGGTTACGGGGTTAATGAAACAGAGGGGTGAACAACCCTGAGAGCAACAGTAGACCGTGACTATTTAAACGCTCTAGTGCCCCATCGTTATAAAGTATTATTCTTTTTACTTTTAATATTAACGACATTCTTATCGACTTAACTCTTATTTATGTAACATTTAAAAGCATTAACACAAAAAATTTCTATTTAAAAAATTGCTGATGAAAAGGATATATACTTGCAGGTAACTTGCAACTTCTTTTCTCCTCTGTCATTAAAATCAACCATATATGCATCTATATAACACTCAGTATAAAAATATATATATTTAAATTATGTATTAAAAAATATATATATGTATATATTTAAAAATTGATATAAATATGTAAATAGAGAGAGCAAATTATAAATTTTATTTTTATAGTAAAACGTTACCTTATATTCCAGCAGATGAAGGTTTATCGTCATCGCGTTGTTGCACGTTTCGGACTAATGCATATGATCGGCACGAATCTATCAGTTTGGCTGAACGTTCTCGTGCAAGAAACAAAACACGAGATCCTCACATTTTACAATCCAGAGAACAACTCCCTCAGAATTTCTCACAGACTAGGTAAACGCGACCGAATATAATCTTCCATTATAATTCTACGACCTATCTAACTTTCGAATTTTCAGGTTCGAAAGGACTTCATCTCGGTGGTCACATGCATTCTCATCACGGAGAACACATACGATTACCGCGCGGTCTCAAAGGACCTCATCACATGTTCGAATGTAGAAGGACGAATATAATGGGATCGTTGGTACAAGACGCCAGTCCTTTCCTTTTTCCGTGCACGATAGAATACAGCTTGATCTGCGCGGCTATTTTATATGTAATGTGGAAAAACATATCGAAAGTTGGCTTCACGAAGCCTGCAACACCGCCGGGCTCGCGTCATCACACACATGCCTATAGGTATAGTAACAATACATTCGCCTACGCTATAGTAATAATATACGCCTACAGCTGTAGCAATAATACATACTTACATACACAAGTACGCGAATAACAACCCAGTTCACGAACTAATTCCGCTGGTGCGCGCAGCTTATCGGAGAGTCGATTGTGAATAATATTCTAACGCAATGAAACGCATAACAAATGGCACTAAAACTTATGTACGTCACGAATTCATGAATTTTAAATGAAAAAACTTTCAATTATTCGCAGAAAATCGCCTCATCATTATAGCGTGGATTGCGCCCGCGCACACAAGGGCCTCTTCGTGGGCATTTTGATTCTAGTGCTGACCATAATCTCCCTCATCCTCTTCTTCGTTCTCATTTCACGGCCCGAACTGGTCAGCCTCGCCGTAACCGAAGTGAACGTCTGCGAATTGACGCTCTACGGAATGTCGACTCTGGCGACGATGATCGGCATGTTCCAGATGCGTAAATTGCGCTACGATGGCGGCAGAAATCTGGAGCTCGATAACATCCTCCTGGTGGCCGCTCAGACCGGCATGTTCATTTACTCTACCTTCACCATCATCGGCGGCCACTTCACTCTGCAAAAACACACGGTCCTAGTGCTAGTCACCGCTCTGGCCAGCGTCGTCCAGACTACCTGCCAGACCATTTTTATTCTAGACTCGTCGAGGCGCACGGTCGCCACCGCCGAGCAGATACGCAGGAAACCAGGCAGAGAAATCGTAACGTTTCTATTGGTGACGAATCTGGCTATGTGGGCGATTAACACACTGGAGAAGTCACGGGCGGAGTCACATCCGGTGCAGTTGCACTTTTATGGCCTGTGGGCGTGGACGATTATCACTCATGTCTCGATGCCGTTGGCGATCTTCTACAGGTTCCACAGCACTGTATGCCTGTGCGAAGTGTGGAAGCGGGCCTATAAGGTGAAACCCACCTATATGTGACGCAAGGGGTCCCGTGAGGTCATATGGAAGACCGGTGGGATTCTGCAGCGGCCCAAAAGTCAACTATCGAGGCTTGATGCCATTGCAGAGAACGATCCGGCGTATTTCATTTGATCGAAAAAGACATCGAGTCATAAAAATGGTTTTAAAGGAGAAAAATCCGTTGGGCAACGTAATAAGAAGTAGAAATTGGTAACTTTAAACGGACAGAACTTTTCTAATCCGAACATGATTGATACATTAACATACGTACATGACAATTCATACGCACATAATCTGTATCGATTTCAGGGTATATTTCGGAAAGTTAACGGTATATAATACTAACAGATATATAGATTCGAGTATTCTCGATATTACATGATCACAATTAAAGAAAAAGACGTTGACAGACAGATACTCATAATAAGGCTAATAAACAGTAGTTACTTCGTCATTTATCGACGGTCAGTGTTCTAGTTAGCCTTGTACGAATTTATTTCGTCGGTATAATATTGGCGATTCCATACAGTTTACACAACGCTATTGTGTAAGTTTATAATACGCTAGAACTGTAACGTACTAGAAATCATCAAAACAATCGAGTTAGGGATTATGCTCTTTATTTATCTGACATCCCAAATAATGAAATGCTAGCAGTTTGCTGATTGACAGATTGGCAACAAATTTAGATTTTTGTTGATTGACTGTAGATCCACAGCTATCTGTGTCCGCATTAAGCTCAGGATTTATTGACAAAAATTTGCTGACATGCTATGTCAGAAACCAAGCAACATCTGCGCACGGTAATCTGATGGCAGATTGACAACAGAAATTAGACAAAAGCTGTAAATCTTGTTCGGTTTCTGCTATCTCAATTTGTTGACAAAGCATGTCAGCAGGCTTTGTTCTATTTTTGATGGCGGTTTGGCCGTCAATTATTAGATATTAGAAACTCTGTGTGAATATTGTTGCTTTTCTGTCAACAAAAATTGATAGTGTACTAAAAATCTGTCTCTTTAGATTTAACATCTGGGATTACATTCTATACTTGCTCCTACATTCCATGGCACAAATAACACATGTAAGAGTGAGAAAATAGTCCTCGTATGGAACTATCTCTCTTGACTCGCTCATGTTGAGCAGAATCTCTCTCCCCTTGTAAGCTTTCCAGTATGTTAGAGTTTACTGGTCTAATATTACTTTCTAAAAAGAAACCATTCTAAAATGGATTCGCCGAAAATTATCAGTATGATTCGTGTCGAAAGAATAATTTTAATAAACTCCAAAAATGCGTATTAATTGTGAAATCCTATTGCTGATAAGCCGATTTATCAAAGCACGATATTATGTACGGTCTCCTTGATATCTATTCGATCATTTTTTGGAGATTTCGACGTAAATAATTTCCTTATCCTATTGATATATTTGTAAAATAGCTCCTAACTTCACCGCGCTAAGAAACCGACACGAAAAGAGAAGATTTGCAAACCACACAAATGAGCTTAACAGCAGAATCGCAGTTTACGCGATAAAGGGACATTACATTGATGTCTATCGCCATCATCGCAGTCTTTGCCCTAATCGATAATCCTACAGAAATAACAGAACAAGAATCATTGTATAAGATAAGAATTTCATTCGATAAAAGAGAAAGTGATAGCAGTGAATAAATGATTCCATTCGTATCTCGTATCAATTCCGCAATATCATTCGAATTGATAGAAGATAAGGAAAGCATTTATATGAAAGAATATCTCGAGAAATGAAACAAAATCAATTGCACTTCTCACAATCAGACGATCTGACTAGTTACACAGTAAAATCATTTTGTATTTATATTGAAACTGTAATTCTTGTAAAGTAATAAAATTTTTGTGTTAATTTTTAAACATATTCGAGTGTTGATTTAAAGTAATACATTATTTAAATATTTTGTATTAAATTGATGTTCAAAATTTTTTAATTTCAAAATAATAATTTATGAGTAAATTTATGAGTAAATAAATATTATAAACATAATTGATATTTTTAAATACAAGTAAATTCTAAGATAATAATTTTACCGACAAAAATATGCTTCCACAATTTGCTTCCAAATTGTGTCAGTATTAAATTTTTTGTGTTATTTTTTAAAATAGAATATTTTTAATTATAATATTCATGTTATATGTTTTCTATATAACATCTATATAACATTTTCTATATTCATCTTGTTAAAATAACACAAAAATTTGAATGGACCATTTAAGACACGTGTGAAAAATGTGTAAACTTAACATAAATTTTCTCCAACTGTGTAGCTAAAACTTTTTCAAAATAGAGTTCACTCATAAATATTGAATCTGATATCTGTACATTCTATAATATGTACATTCTAAATTTTTCTCTTGTAGATATTTAAATGACGATTTTCTCAATTCATCAGACGACCAAAACGATTTAATATAGAGATACGGAGGAACATAATTAATTATTATTTTTATTAAATATTTGAATTAACGTTCGCTCAAATATCTGAATACATGATTCTGTAGGCGACAAAATGTTCATTCGTTAGAAGTAGAAAAGACTAGATTCTTCTTAGAACAATCTGGTCGAAGCATTCGGCATAGATCTTCGATCCAATACGGGAACAATGAATCTTCTTCGTTCGATAAACTTTTGTATTCATTCTGAGTAGACGAGCGAGAGTTCGAGAAGAATCGGACTCCCTTTTCCAAAAGACTGAAACGAATGTCAGGAGAATGATTAGAGCACTAAGCGTAAATTCTGATCCGCTAAATCGATCGAACCGAGTACTCTAACTGTGTGTAACCTGAATGTTTGGTGCTCGTATAATTCAAGGCGCTTGGACACTCTCACGGATATCCGTCTTCCACGTAGTACAAACTGCAGCTTAAACAACAATTGTCGTGTACATGTAGATGACTCGAGAGTTAAAATAGTGACAGGGAAAATAGATTACGAGTATGTTTAATAGCGCAAACAATAAATAATAATAGAACACTATTACAAATAAATAGAATACTATAGATTTTTTCATAATAAATAAAATTATCAATCATTATTACGTGAGACAATTACATAAATACAAGTAAGGAACAAATCTCGCTGGAATTAAAAATATTTTAATACTGACAATATGAAAAAAGAATCTACTTCTCTCAGTTTTCTATTTAACAAACTCGAAATCTCTCTTAATTCTCTCGACTCGCACAGACCACGAACTTCATATTTTCGAGCGATTTGCAATGTCCATATAATTCAATAAAGAAAAAACCATATAGATATTATTAAATATCCTAACGGAATTAAAATCAGAGAACACTTTGGTCCTTTTATATTTAAAAAAAATATACGCACAAGAAGATTTATAATTTTAATATAAGAAATATAATTTTAGAAATATTATCGTAGAAAAATCTATTTGTAAAAACGGAAATAATTAGTACCACTGTTACAATCGTGATTTATAATGCACGAACATTTTATTATCGACGTTGAATTGTATTATCAAGAGAAACTTATTTTATGTTAGGCTCAGAAAACTGAATGATCAGAATTAACTCGATGGGCGAGTATCTAATATCTATCGTAGACTTCGCGTGATTTTCAAAAGTAGAAACGATAGACATGAAAAAGTGAAGACGTTCGAAGTAGAAATACAGTACAATGGCTGATCATATCATTAAGCCTTAAATCCGTCAAGAAGAGTGCTGTCCGAGTTGATAAGAGATAAAGGGGATCAAGATCGATCGCGATCGACATGCAAATTCAAAACTAGAAGCAACCTATTCGAATTTCTTTCATGCTCAACTGACAGATGTGAGGATGAGATCACGAAGTGAAAAATGATTGAATAAATTGACGTGTGTGATTACGTATGGATATATACACGTGCGCGCGCGCGCGTGTGTGTGTGTGTGTGTGTGTGTGTGTTTTGCGTACCTGTACATGAAACAAGAGCAAAGACAGAGAGAAAGAAGTCGAGGTTTAATGGAAATGTAGGCGTTTATGAGTAATATGTGTTCGTGCTAGAAGCTTTTTAATATCGATTATCGCCGTTGCGAATTCTAGTTATCCGGTCGGTGCAGTCGATCTTTTGTAAGATATAGTTTCTTTAAGACGGCTGTAAATAAACGGTGGAGAATATACAATAAAAAAGCGAATTCTCGGTGTTTAGCGCTAGTTGTGTCGACATGTTTCTTCCTATATACGTATTTATGTATATATGCATATGTATATATACATATATATAATATAAATATATACATATATACATGCATACACATATTTATATATACAAGATATAAATATATATTTATTATTACGTTGTTCTATATAATATTTATTATAATCTGACATAGGATTTACGCGCGACATGTTACGTTTATTGAGAATCCCGAGGACTTATGCCGAGATCCCATGTCCATTCTTTCCTTCACTTCTTCTCTCTCGCCTACATCTTCGTCCTAGAGCAGTCAGAGAATATCGCAATAAGAAGCGATATGAAAAATACAAATAGGCTGCAAAAGTAAATATTAAATAATGCCTAAGAGAGCAACAAGGCTTCAAAAATAAATAATAAATAATGATTTAGATTAAATCATTACAGCCTAATTATTAATATAATTAATGATCTCCCGTTATACATTTTACTTCAAATGTTGCAAGAGAAAGCCTTTTGCAGTAAATTCGTCCTTTTCGCATAGACTTTTCTCGTGCACATTGTTAACGCGTTTACGATCTCGGCATGAATCCTCTCCATAAAAAGATAAAATCAGGGCGAAATCACGAAGGATGCAATTCACATTTGCGAGTGATATAAGAGGAGAGAGCAGAACGAGGAAGTTGCTATATCACGTCTCTGAACTGTACTTTTTCTATGTCCGCATAATCTAGTTCCTACGCAATGTTTGTACTCTTATACCCTTTGTACTATTTGTACCTTACGAATTGCAATACACTCGTCCGCAATAACGAAACGTTCCTTTTTATTTATCACCATTCACGATTATTTTTTTCGAGAAAACCACAATATTAATCTTCGTTAAATTAGAAAGTACAGATAATGTCAAACTGACAAACCGCATTTCTATTATGTTTGCTCCATGACAAAAATGAAACAAGACTTTAAATATAGACAATTCGAGTCTATCTAAAATCGAACTTTCTATGTAATAACTTGCTTCGTACTACGATAGGCAGTTATTAACAATGCAACGACAACAGGGAATAATTCAAATAGCAGAGAATCATAGCTGAGATGACCTAAATACCCGCGATTCCGGAGTCAATTCCGCGAGTATGTTCATGATCTCTCAATGTTGAGGCAAACCTTCCTCGGGTCCAAGGTTATCTGGTGACCGACCCTCAATCTGAATCTAATGGAAATGAAGTTG